AATATGAATTTTAACTCTCTAATTTCCTGACCAAGCCATTGCTATTCTTTTAAGTCTTATTTATATCACAATAGTAATGTATGTATACACATATTTGCACTGAAATTGTGTTTTACTGTATATTTATAAAGAACAACTGAATTATTATTCATTTTTCTATTTCTTTAACAGTGTATTCTAAGGAAACAGCATGAAATGAGCATAAATAATAATTATGGCTACTTTTTCTGTAATTCTAAGTTATTTTATTATATATCTTCTTAAAATACAGAAATTAATAATAATTATATCATTTAACTTAAATGAAATTGACTATATATATTTACAATCAAGTTTACTGGGTGTATAATAATTCATTGTTATATCCTACTTGTTGACATAAATCATGTATTGATTAAGATAAAGAATATTTTGTTATTTATATAAAAGCATTTTTATTATTTTTTCACTTTCATTCCCCAAGAAGTATTCATGATGTTTCACCACCAAAATGCCTCTTTAAGCCTGATTGTGAGTTAAAGTAATTACAATATGTTTTTTTGCAATATTTTTTACTTATCATAAGTAAATAAGTAATTTTCGAATTTAATTCCCATGATACAATAAAAAAATGCAGATTTAGTCTAGTACAGTGGACTCTCACTGATCCGAACTAACTAAAACCAAGGGGGTTTGGATTAGCTAAAAATTCGGAGTACCGAACGGAAAAAAATAAAAAATAAGGTCACTTCATATATAACAAATCAATTTAAAAACAAGAATTATAAATTTATTTACATAAAAATATTCTTACAATAATTGATCATTTTCAGAAATTTATTTTTGACTAATGTCTTTCAATAAAACTATATTAATTCATGAAAGAGTAAACAGATACTAAATTTGACCGAATTCACTTCCAATTTTACATAAAATGATTTTATTCCTCTTAAAAATTTATTGCTTTTTATTTCTATAGAAAGATTCTTTTCTGGTTATACTCTGCAACAAAGTTTGTAAATTTTATCTCTATTTGCCTTAAAGTAAACATTTATCCTTAGAATTGAAAAAATAAACATATTTAGTAACAATTTAACATACCGATACAAACAATCGTTGCCACCTTTCGGTATATGGCCAGGTTCTCCTGCCCTAATGTCGGTCCTACTAATAGCCTTAATTCACTTTATTATATTGTAGTTGTGATATAACAAGTACTGAATTTTACCAATTAATTATACCATTTATTTATTGTTCTTTTCTTATTATCTTATAAAAATTTCATTTGTAAATAATTCATGTATAAATTTCCTTGTTTCTGTTATTTTTATAATAAAGAAAAAAGGTAAGTGCATTTTATTTGTTGACAAATATTTGCCCATGAGCTTATTACTATGAGTGGATTTTAAAATATATATGTATATATATTCATCTACCTATTTGGTTTCATATCTATGTACATATAAGGAAACTTATGTGTTCAGTATAATTTTTTAAGTTAAGGTAGTGTTGAAAAATATTTTGATATTCTATGTTTAATCAATCAATCTTCTGGAACTTCAACTCTCAGATATTAATGATTGTTTTTTTTTTTTTTATGTATCTATTGTGTAGTACTACTAGTTTCAGAGTTTTCCTACTTTTAGTTTTTATGTTATAAATAAATACAAAAGACATCATAAATTAATTATTTTTCTTGTTTTGGAAGCTTTGTAGCTATTTACTATAGAAAGTCAAAATTGTGCCTCTCTTTTCAGAATTTCATAAGAAGAGCTTTGATTTCATCATCTTGATTTTACTAAACTAATCTTAAAATTTTGTGATTTTTTTTTTTTAAATATGTTTTATGTTACCTGATATATGTAGGAATCACCGACGAACTTAAAGGGAAATCAATCCTTCTAATGAATTGTTTTATAAGATTTATCTTTTGGGTTTCTGGGCGCACCTGTATCTATGGCTATTCTACCAAGTTAAATAATTTACCCTTCTTTCTGATGGTAATATTTCCTTGGTTCTTACGTGTTCTGAACCTGAAAAAAACCATTAACCTTCCTGAATCTCTGAATTCTTTACCCTACTCCACTTCATAGAACTAGTTCCTTTGACAAATCCTTTCTTGTTTGTTTCTCACTCTTTTGGAATAACTTGCCCATCTATGTCCATAAAGCCTCTTACCTATCCTCCTTCAAACATAAACTTTTTCTTCTCCTTCTTTAATACCAATCCTACAATCTAATTTAAAATTAACCTGATTATTTAACACAAGATTAAGTGACAGTTACCCCATAGTCATGTGTATCCATTGTTCTTGTTCTTATGAGACTTGATCACAGAATACAGATAGTTTTTTCTATTTCAATTCAGTTTTAGATTGTATGGGATGAATTTCATGATGGTATACTATAATTTTTTTAGGATTGTGGAATGATCCTTATGCATACTTGTGTAATAAACCTTTAACTATGAATAAATTATTTATTCATTAATAATCATTTTATACACTAATATTTTTCTCATTCATTATTTGAAATAAAAGATCTGTTCTTACACTTGCATAAATTATCTCAGTTTAATATACTTTTCTTATTTCTATTTATTTGGAGTATATTTATTATCTTGATATCTAATAAATTTGTTGGTTCGATAAAGTGAAGTGTTACCTTTCTTCAAATATCTATGTGAATTTTGTTTAATATAACTGTTTTGTGTTTTTAGTATAAATTTCACCTATGATTGTATGACCAACATATATTTTTCTAAATATTTTTAACTTCATTTCAATTTTGACTATTTTGTTAAGATCCAACGCGGTGATTGTCATACTTTTCAAGATTCTGATGTAAAAAGCTAATGAAATTTAGTCATATTATAATATCATCAATATGGCTCATAAACAACCAAGTTTTCTCATGTCCTAAGCTATTCAACAAAACGAAAACTACAAATTATCTTGAACATGTTAAGTTCAAGACACTTTTCATGCACATGACCTACTCATTAAAAGCCCTTATCAGCTTCCTCTCTGAATGATTGAAATTATCTCATATCTTGCCAAATTACAAATGAAAAATCTATTAAAAGGGTGCTGGGTCTCTAGTATTAAAAGGGTTTTTGGATAGCCCTACCATTCTACAGTGATATACTAAAAATTAAATCAGTTTGCATGAAATAAACGCATGATTGCTTGTGAATCACCAGATTAAATGAGAAATATAAAATGCATGTTTTAAAATAACATTCCTGGGCTCTGGTAGTAGTGGCTTTGAATAGCCTCATAACTACGGATAAGAATACTCAATAAACACACTTCAAAAAGGGTTAGATATTGGAAAAAATAATATTGTATTCTGCAGAAAGCTTCATGACTTATCTATTTAATGTTATTTACAGCCAAGTATCTATGCATGTTGTATAAATTTTATAGTTACTCTAAACCTTCAAAATATGGTAAACTAGATTTTGGCTTGTATTTATTTATCATTTCCTCTTTCATTCCCTAGTGATACTATAGACAATGTTCTGCCTTGAGCAGCTCTAATATTCTTGTTAAGATTGCCTGAGCTTCTTAATTTATTAGAGTTAGATGTGAATTATAGTTTCTTCAGATAGTAAAAAATTATGATTCTGACGTACTGTTTACATTATGTTTTGTTAATAGCTTTCTCTGCTGAAGGATTTTAATTTTACTATCTCATTTTACATTTTAAACTTCTGGTACCAAAAAATTTATAATAATAACATATCATATCAAAAGTCTTTAAAAGGGTGTGTTAAGTTATTTATTATTGTTGAATTTAAATACAAAATTATTGATTGATACAGATTTCAAGTTGCATTTTAAACTTATTTTTATTTTATTTTGTTTTTATAGAAGTGAATTATTTTACTTTCTTGCATAAACTTTTTATAAATTCTGTTTTTATTAGCTTTTCCAATATTAGTTTATAAAATAGACCGTAGATACATCTTCTTTGATGGAATTTCCACCTAAGTTTTCATCTCACCTGTATTATATCTTCACATGAAAATATTATCGGAGATGTTTCTTTTTTGCATGATGAAATTAAGAAGACCATTACACAAAATCTAGTTGAGCTCACTGTCAAATTGAAGCAGTACAGGATTGTAATGGTTTTTCTAACAATATTCATTCATCCGTCATTATACCGCTTTTTATTTTATAAGGATCAGTTGTATATTAAATAATGATCTATTATTTTCAAATCCTCGTTAATATCTGTGTTTATCTTATTTTATTTTCTTCAGCCAATGAAGATTTATAATGCTACTTACCATGTCCTGTATTAATTTAATTGTTGTATGAATACAAACAAAACAAAATAACAGAAGGAGATGGTCCGGGGTTGCGGTCATAAAAAGGCTAAATAGTGGTAAAACTATTTTATTGAAAGCCAACGTTTCGACCCGACTTTGCAGGTCTTCATCAGGGAGGTGTGTTCCTCTAGGAGTTTCACTTGAGTTCTAAGTGAAACTCCTAGAGGAACACACCTCCCTGATGAAGACCTGCAAAGTCGGGTCGAAACGTTGGCTTTCAATAAAATAGTTTTACCACTATTTAGCCTTTTTATGACCGCAATCCCAGACCATCTCCTTCCTTTATAATGCAACGGTCAACTATTAAATATTCAAAACAAAATAACTAAAATAAGAAACAGAAAAATATGCTTTTCTGAAAATCTATTATTCTAACATCTGTTTGTTAATTCATTTGATATAATTGTAAATTTGTCTTAGCTTAGATTTAAAATCAGGCTTGGCCTACACTCATTTTTTATGCTAATATTGGTATAATACTTTCTAATAATTTATACAAATATTTTGGCATTCTAGGAAGATTATTTGTTGATAAGAATGATTCTGTCTACTCCAGTTTATTATTTATTTTTATGTATGTTTTAGGGCTGTTTTTATTTAATTATATTTTTAGGTTACTTGTATTTCTGTAGACTTCTATTTTTTTTTTTTTAATACTAATTATTCTTTAAATTGTTTCACAGACCTGGAGTCGTGTTTACTTTACAAGCTCTTTCAGAAGAAGATCGGAAACAATGGATGGATGTAATGGATGGAAAAGAGCCGGTACAAACTTTTATCTTTGGTTATAACTTAAATTAAAATTGGAGTTAGAAAATTTCCTAAGTTAGAAATAAATTTTTTTTATTTTTTATTTTATTTATTTATATGATATTTACAACTGTATACAAAAAATACATCTGGTAAATTCGCACATTGATATAAAGACATGGAACACATGTTGAGAAACTACCCATTGGTAGCACTCTAATAATATGTCTATATTAGAAGATCACGTGGCCATCTTCTTTTCAGACGCCTCGGAGGGTTATCAGGAATCGAATAGGAAGCAAGGTTAGAGACAAGAGGGTTGGGATGGTTATGAAGTTTATTATGGAAGGACAGATATCTGGATTGGGCCAAATCTGATACATAAGGAACATTAAGGTCATTATGGATAATTTTATTTGTAACAAAGTACGGAGCATTGAGGATTTTAAGAAGGATTTTAGATTGTAAGGATTGTATGCGAGAGGAATTTGAAGGTTTGGTAGAGCCCCATAGCTCAACTCCGTAAGTCCAAATAGGCCTTATTATAGTCATGTAAATGAGTCTTTTATAATTGATTGGAAGGTTAGAGCATTTGTCTAGTAAGTGTTGAAGTAGTCGGAAACGTCGAGCTGTTTCTTGTCGTTTCAGTCTGGTATGAGGATTCCAAGTTAGACGTTTGTCCTAGGTAACGGATTTGTTCAACAGGAATAAGTGAGGTGTTGTTAAAGGATACTGAAGGACAGGAAGTCATTGGTTTAAGACGAAAATTTAAATATCAAAAGCTTTATGTAGATGAGAGCCTAGGTTTGAATAATATTTCCTGCGTTTATCTCCTCTTTTGAACATAACTTCGTATTAATCATGGAGAAGGTGAGATTGTTGAAATTAATCGCAGCACTAATCTTCCATGAATAACATAAGTTCAGGCTCACGCAATAAGACTGGAAAAGCTGTAGTCCATTATAAGGTCTAAAAAATAGTTAAAGAATTTTGTTATTGCCTATCCTTACCACCTTTTAGATATATATATGCACATAGCCTGTTTACTGAACTTAGTAAATATATATACTTTATATATTTTCAAAGTTCAGGCTGTGTAAAACACTAATTATATCAATGGTACAAGTCAGGTGTTAACTGATAATTAAATTCTGCGATTGTTTTCTGAAAATAAAATTCTCCAGCAGTTAGTGGTGCATGGCAACAGAAACAATTAAAATTTTTATGAAATTTGTTAAGAACATGTCACTGGCTTAACTATCCAGACTAAAATGGTTAGATGATTCTGTATTTGAGGATATAGGACATAACGGTGCAAAAAATATATATGAGAGCTTATTATACCTTGTGTTTCCCTGCTCATGTGGCACTTGAAGAATAATGCCACCTAAGGCATTTTCTTTCTGATATTTGGTTTTGATACTCTATAGAAAACAATGTACTATTATCCTCTCAATATTTGTAAGTTAAGTATCAATAGTTATAATATTATACAATTCCAATTTTAAATTTAAGTTCTTAGATATTTTGATGGTTGTTGCATAAAAAATTTCATCTGAAAAGTGTAATAAAATTTTACATTTAATTTTTTAAAAAATCATTAGATTTAATTCAATTATTGTAATGGTGTCAAAAACAAATTTTGATGTAGTAAAATCGAAGAAATGTAATACATAAAATTATAACAAATTTATTTTGAGTTAGATACATTTTTCAATGATTAATGTTGATCATAAATCAAGTTCACCTTATGAATTTGTTTTATATTACTGCTTTAAGTCTCTTTCAATTACATTAACCTGCTTGTCTAGTTTAGTATAGTTTTGAAAAAATTTTTCACTGAGTTCTTTATTCTCTAAATGTCGCAGAGAATGTCTCCTCAAGGAAAGAAATATACTTTTTTTTCTTCTTTCTACTCCTGCTTAATTCTACTCACAGTGGTTATTCTTGTACCTCACTGTAGGATTCTGAATCATTGCTGTCCTCCCACTCTTAAGGATTATAACAATATCAGCATACCTTAGGGACCTATAACTGACAATAGACTGAACCTCCTTGAAGTAGATTAATTAATTTTCTATAAGAAGTCTTATTATTATTCATCCTTGGCTCAATGATGATGGCCTGATGTTATAAAGACAGCGTTTTTTGTACTTCCTCCAGCTCATGGGCTGAAGTTTCAGATTCTGTTCCATAAGAAGCTTCTCTCACCTACTGATTGCCCTATTGGACTCCACACAGTGCTACATAATTTAGATTGAGTTTTAATATGTTTGACCAATCAGATCCCTAAAGTCCTAAAGTGCTTAATTCTCGCATTTGTATTGATGTTCGGTGTCTACTTGAAATTGTGGACACCAACATTGCCACCTAAGGTGAGACCATTCTTTAAATGGTTTTTATCATAGTGAATTTTTTGGATCTCTCATGTTTTGATGGCCCTGATTAATGTTCATTCTTCCTCTGCAATTCTCTTTATATGCAAACATAGATTGCAGTAGAGTATCTAATATATTTGCAAGTTGCTGGAGAATGGGCCAATAATGTAGAGGAGCTTCCCTTTGACATTAGATTAATCCTTACCCTTGCTACTCCTCAGAGCACTTAATTTCAACCATTGAGGTGTTTTCTATAATATCAATAATAGCCTTTATAATACTACCTCAATGTATTTATTTATTCTAATGAGGCGAGTTCATTCTGGTAAAGGCGAGTTTCAAAAATAGATATTCATTGGCAGCTTTAGATTTTTCTCTGATCTGAGCAATCAATTTTGTTTATTTATTAATTCACCTTTAATAGAATTAAGATAAAGAGGTCAACCTGGACATTGTTGCAGATGCGGGTAGGAGGGGAGGGAGCTATTAACTGACTCTCTTTAAGAGAGTTGTCTCCAGTCAGCCAGACTGAACAATCTGTGGATGAGTCGACTCATCAAAGCCAAGAGGTGCTATTTTGGTCTCAGAAAGCACCTGAGAAGTTCTTACCTCTCCTGCCACACTAAATGCCTCTTATGTAAAACTCTTATAAGGCCTATCCTAACATATGGATCAGAGACCTGTACCGTCACAAGTAACAAGGAGAGAGAAATTCTTATATTCAAAAGGAAAATTCTCTGACAAATATTTGGACCGGTAAAGATCAGGGAGGACTGGAGATGGAGAAGAAACAAGGAAATTTACCAACTTTATGGCATGGCTGACTTAATTAAGTTTATTAGGTTGGTAAAAATGTGGTGAGCTGGCCACGTTAGAAATAGCATAGAAGGACACTGTTGCCAGGGATTCCCGCAACCTACTCAACATCTCAAACTGGCAAGCAGCTGCACAAAATCGAACTACCTGGCAAAGACTTGTTGAGGAAGCCAAGGATCACATCTGTCTGTATCACCAAGGAGTAGTAGTTGTAAGAGAGTTGTCAACAGGAAATCCCCACCATTTTAACACTCTGCCCCTCTGATACCTAGCCCGTCTCTCCTGTTCCTTCCATATTGGACTATGCTCAGAATTATCTGTCTTTTTAAAGGAGTCAACAGTCAAGCACAAGGTGACTATACATACCACAATGAAACAAAACAAAAGATCCAGCACCACTCATGCAAAGATGCCTTTTATCAAAAGCCATAGTGATTCATGTAGTCTAGTAATATTTTATCCAAGATCTTTCAGTCAAATGACTTTTTTTTTTACTAATATGTACTTCTATACTCAATGATAACAAACAGCTATGCAATGATAACAAAAACATATTGTAAAATTCAATACATATGTATGGTTTATGATCCACAAATAAAGAAATTTTCAACTACGAGTATATGAAGTGTTTTCAAATCATGAATAATGGAACCTCACATCCAAAAAATTCTATGCATCCTAATTTGTTTAGCAATTTTTCTTTTCACTTATTTCTTTTACGTAAGTTTAACTTCCTAGAATATACTCTACAAACAACGTGACATTAAACAATAACCTATAACTAATTTGCTTAACATTTGAATGTTTACAAAGATAGAAAAAAAGTGCACATAGGTGTAACATGGATTGTATGTCCTAAGCTTTAATTCTTGTGAAGGGGGCTATAGATTTTGATTTAGCATTTGTTTCTTGAGTGAATACTTGCTCTTCTGCAAATTTGGATTCTAAATATTAATTGCATCTCCATCCATTTATGTTTAGATGACATATCCATTCTTTATGGAGACTATCTTTAATTAAAGCACTTTATTCAATATGACACTTATCTATGGGTTTATAATTTGACTGATTATCCACTATGTACTTTTGGATACTGTTTAATATTCTTTCTGCAACACCCTTGTCATGTACTGATTTTGTACTTTATTGATGTAGTTTGCTAACTTTTGAATCTGGTGAAGAACATGGAACTATGGAATATTGTTTGATTTAATATGGAAAATTTTCTTTTAATATCTATTAAATATTGAATCTTTCATATATATTGGAATTAATAATGGATTGAAGTTGATATATTTTTACTCAACCTTTTTTTTCTTGGCGCATTGATAAGGTTATAGGTATGAGGTGCAGTGACAGAGGCACTGACTTACTATTGGAAATTGGTAGATTTTTATGTGTTTTTTATTCTAATAATTTAAAAAATACTGTACTCATTCATATTTTATTTTGATATTGTTAGTTTATATGTTATTTTTGTGTATTATTTATTAAATAAATCCACAATTTATTTTACAATATTTTATTTATTAATCTATTATTTTTTTAGACATATGGTGTTCCTGTACCTTTGAAACCCGTGAAGATGGATGAAAAGAGTGTTCTTGATGATGTTGGTTTTGCGTTTGTTACGAAGTGTATTGATGTTTTAGAATGTAGAGGTAATATAGATCAATATGTGTGTGTTTTTTAGATGTTTTATATTTTGATTATGGAACTGTTCAATTGTAAGCAATAGTTTTCTATTTATTTTTTTTTTTTAATGAAATTCAATTACTATAGAGGTATTATTTGGCTTATATGTTGATTTAACATGCTATGGTTTATTTTTTGGAAAATATTTGATTTGTAAGCTTTTTGTTTACAAATACAATTTTTGAATCGTGATTAATGATTTTTTTGGAGTGGTATCTTCAAATATACTACAAATCATACTCTTACTCTTTTTTTCATTTTTATATGGGGTGTTGTAGGATATATTTGTGCATTTACATTTTATATTTGATATACACTATTTGTCAAGAAAATTCATTTTTTTTTCTTAAAAGTGAAAAATTAAAAATGTATTTTACATTTGATCAGGTAATTCAGTATTGTCTCTTTCAAAACACCCTGCTCTTTAACAAGAGAAAACTTCATACCAACAGTATATGAAAAATAGCCAAATTTGAAAAAGTAAATGGCAACCTAAATGACTCATAGACCAGCCAGGTTCAGATTGAGTAAAAAGATGGATAGCCTTGAATGGAAGGACTGTTCTCGACTTCCACCAACCACTCTTGTGAACTTGCTGGATAAACCTAATTTGTTTCTGAATAGCTTGCATTTTAAAGTTTCCATGATACATATAATGTTTGTCCCATTGGAAAATTCGTTATTAAGGGATGGATAGATTACCAAAAATGTAGTTCAGTGCCGTCAACCACACCTTCCGATATCAAACCATTGAGATATGATTTTTTTTTTTCCAAGAAAAACACATTTCCCACCATAAATATTGAAATTACTCTAATACAACTGAAGATTTCTCAATTTTTGTCACCATTTTTGGAATCTTAAGATGAATATAACAAGACAACAATCAATTTGTTGGAAAATATCTCCTAATCATGCTGTCATTGTAGCCAAAGCGAAGTAAACTAATAAAAAAGAATAATTTTAAGAAGTGGTGAAGGTATAATTGGCAGTAAATTATTAAATACAAATTGATTGGGGTTACAGTCAAAGGTGAAAGTAAACAATATTTTTTTTGTCTTACTTTCACATTTGACACACTTCTGGTGGATATTGATCTACTAGCTATAGAGTTGTTGGATGAATTGCACAATTCCTAAAATTCTGTGGGTCAGACCCCCCCTCCCACATCCTTATTAATTTCATATCATTGTGTTCCTTGTAACTATTTATTAATAAAAAGCCAATGTTCCCACAAAAAAGTGAACACACTGCCCCAAAATGGTGTCCAAACATGGCGGACTGATGACTTTGACTTTAATTAGTTTTTTGGTTACTGAGAATCAGCATTTGGCTTAATTTCGTCATAGTTGGTCTTTTATTAAAGGTGGATAGTCAGAGAATAATAAAACATGAAAAAATATTAAAAAATAATTGGATTAGGCAATAAAAAACACCAGTAAACTCAGTTTTTTAACAAAAACATTTTCAAGTTGAAAATCAAGAGTCGTTTGTAATTAAACGGCCAAAAATAACGGAAAACGTGCTGAAATAAAACATCTGGAGAATATATTTCTCTTTCTAAAACATTGATTACTTTTTAAAATATTTGAAGCAGTTCTCTAGAAAATGCACTTAAGCGGTACTGGCGTAGGTGCCTACTGGCCTCTACCACACCATTCAGTTCTCATAAATGGCTTAGTTATAGTGCTATAATAATGTTTTGGTAAATTATAGTGATTTTATTAACGAACAAATATTAATACAATAATTTAACTGTACAAAAAATAAACATTTTTTTAAAAATTTATTATTATTTTTTCTTTTCAATTTAACTTATTTTATTCTATATGGAGGTCGTTTAAGAAGGACTCTATTGTAAAACTGATATAATTATAATAATAAAACTTAATTCAAAAATACTTTGCCGATTATCTTGAATGTTTTATTTAACGTTTGCAATTTAACACTTTGTTTAGTCTATTTACTGATTCTTAGAAGTAATTTAAATTGTATACACTTCCCCGGAAATGAATCACATTAATACCTTTTTTATAAATCAAAATAATATATACCTAATCTGAACTACATATAATGAATAGTTGCCGGGTTGCTTAGTAAAACTCATATATCACTAATAACAAAATTAATTTTAATTTCCTTTAATTTGTTTGCAAGTTGGACCCTATAAAAAAATAAGAAATTTTAATATCGAATGCATTATTCTCTCTGCACAAAGAAAAATAGAAAGGGCGTAGCCATAAGTTCTTTTAGGTAACCGGAACTGATTGTTAGTATTTGATTTCAAGATGAGGAAAATCATGAAATTGAACACAAAAATTGGAAAAATACATGAAACGAATAAGAAAGGAAGTGCCAAAATCTCGGAAAAGAAAACAAGGATCAGTATATATTATGTGGCTAAAAGAATATATAGTAGACAGATGAACAGAATATATCAAGATGCTACTAAAAGGGGTCAAATGCTGGAGCAGTTTGGATGATATTAAGGGGACGATGCAGGATTATCATGGTGAAGACTGTTTTATCAGCAAGAAAGATTTGTTCGAAGTAATTGGCAAGTCAGCCGGTCTGGACGAAGTAAATCGAACTGCTTGGGCAACAAATGTAAAGATATATTTCTACACTTTTTCGATGTATATTGAATAATATTTCATTAGAAAATGATGTGAAAGGACTGTAGTTTTGTCCCTTTACAAGAAAGGAGATACTAGGAAATTTAATACCCATCGAGATTCATTCCTGTTTAGTGTACCAAAGAAACTCTACTCAAGAATCGTAGAAGCTAGAATAAGAAATATTGTCGATTGCCAGAGCGGTATGGATTGAGAAACTGAAGTTGGACATTGGGACTGTCTTCACTTTAAGGCAGGTTATAGAGAAGTCCATCAAGGAAGAAAAATAGCTCTCTACCTGCTTAGTGCCTCACTCTTTGGATTGAGCTAAATACCTACTTATCTTTCAGAAAAGCTCGTTTTCCTTTCAGATTCATGTATATATTTCAGTATATATATTTCATTTATATAATTATTTATATATATATATTTATATTTCATGTCATCTTTTGGTCTTTTGAGACCTTCATATATATCAGAAAAGCTAGTTTTCTTTTCAGATTCCTACATATATATATATATATATATATATATATATATATATATATATATAGGATTGTAATAACTACCAAGGAATTTCACTTCTTCAGGTATGTTATAAAATATTCACATTAATCTTAACTAGTCAAATCATGGAATACGCTGAGAAAATTATTGGAGACTACCAATGTGGAGTTAGACGGAACCGTTTATATATAATATTTTCTTTACAGCAGATATTTGAGAAAAAATTGGAGTACAGCAGTGTTGTTCACCAGCTTTATATAGATTTCAAAAAGACTTATGATTTCATTGACGGCCTGAATATAATATAATATCCTAATTAAGCAGGTGATTCCAAACAAATTGGTGAATCTAGTTAGGATGTGTATATCCGAAACATTCAATAAGTCAAAATTGGTCATTATTTATTGGAGAAATTTGAGGTTCATTTGGGCTTAAAACAAGGTGATTCGCTTTATCCTATTCTGTTTAATTTGGCATTAGAACATGCCATTAGAGAGCTGATATATACCGAAAAAGGTTTGAATCTAGGTGAAATAGTATCCATGCTTGGGTATGCTGATGATTTGGTACTGTTAAGCAAAGACATGAAAACAATAAAATAAAACTTAATATAACAACGTTGATGAAAACTAGTAAGAACTGAGGCTTGGAATAAGTCCGGATAAGACATTTCGGTGACATAGATATAGAAGGGAATGTTTTTGAACTCTTAGAGAACTTTAGTTATCTAGGGTCTACGATAACTAGAAAAAACGAAATTGAAGAGGAGATTAAGATTACGTTGAAGGCAGGGAATGCTTGTTATTTTTCTTTGTCAAAACTACTTCACTCGCACTTCTTGTCCTGAGACTTAAAAATTGTAATTTACAAAACCATTATCTATTCCTACGGTTCTTTATGAATGTAAAACGTGGCTGCTTACATTAAAGGATGAGCAACATCCTAAGGTTTTTCAAAATTAAGTACTGTGCAGAATATTCAGAAAAAAGAAGGATGATTCAACCGGAGAATTTAGGCAGTTAAATAACGCTGCATTGTGCGAACTGTATCCGAGATGATTAAGTTGAGGCAAATAAAATAGGCATGTAAAGTCATTGGGATTAGTAATGAATTCCTAAAAAGGTAATATGCGCTGTGCCAACTGACAAGTATCCGAAGGGTAGACCAAAGCGAAGGTTGGAAAATTGTGTTAAGGCTGATCTTGCGGGGTTGCGTTTAGACGGCTCCCAGTGTATGGAAGAATATAGACATTGATTGGTGGTATTGGCATCAAACCTTCAAGTTTGCTAAGCCTTATTATTATTAAACTTAACATCTGTAAAAAAAAACACTTAACGTTGATCCATCTGTCTTTCTTTATTTTTTTCATTCACCAAATCATTATTATAATTGTTATTAAAAAACTTGGTTTCATTTGCCTATGTCCTCATTTATTGTATGATTGTATAATAAATGATGACATAAACAAATTAGTCACATATTTTTAATTTATAATACAGTTTAATGGCCTATAATGGGCTTAAATGTTAATGAATAAAAAAATAAAGTAAGATATATGGTTCAGTAGAAAGTTTCATTATTATGAAATTTTAACCAACTATATTAAAATATATATTGAATTATTTAAATTTTAATGAAGAGAAGAATAGTTGGGGTGGTCAGTCAAAAAGGAAGGCAAAAAATAAATGATAATATTTATTTTTTACATATACCGACGTTTCGACCTGAAGTTCAGGCCTTCATCAGGGCTAAGAAAAAAAACCTGCTTCTATTTTATATTTATAAAAATAGTAAATAAAAACATTTTTGGCTAGATGACTTTTTATGATTTCCTATACACAGGGGTCCCACGTAATAAATTTGTAATGAATGTGAAGTTTTTAAAAAAAACTGTATAAATTATTAAAATTCTATCATGAGAATTGCCCATAATCTGAGAGTCTCTCTTATGAATATATTAAAATATGTTAATTTGATTATTTTATTGTTTTTTTTTTTTTTTTTAGCTTTAAATGAAATGAAGTATTGATATACAGATAAATGTGAAAGATAAAATGTTTTCCAGGTTTAGAAGAACAAGGATTGTATCGTGTGGTTGGTGTCAGCTCAAAAGTTAATAAATTATTATCAATGGGATTAGATAAAAGAAAAATAGACAAATTAAATTTAGATGACCCATTAGAATATGAAAGTAAAACTATTACTTCAGCTCTAAAAACATACCTTCGTAATTTACCCGAACCACTCATGACATTCAGATTTCATGAAAGTTTCATCATAGCTGCAAGTAAGCTTCTGTTTTATTTCTTAAATTTTTACTTTACATTGATAATTAGTTAGGAATTTAGACTTATATCGTTTTCAAAGTTCATTGATGTTTTGATATTATTATTTATTTATTTATTTGTGTTTATTGTTGCCTCTACCCTGTAGAGTAATTGGCAACACCTTTTGCTTGCATTCTGTTATAGAATTTTATAATTTTTAAAAATTTCAAGATTTTTTTCATGACTTTTTGATTGTCAATCAGGTTTTTGTTTAGGCTTTGAGCCATATCCATTTTTTTTTTCTTATATTTTTAAATACTGGGCAATGTTGGATGAGATGTGTTGGACTGTTCTTTGCTCCTTACAGCTCTCGCATGTTGGTTGATGGGTCCAGTCCTCTTAGTAGGCATGTGAAAATTCACAATGCCCAATTCTTAATCGACAGAGGACTGTCTCTTCTTTCCTAAAGAATTGGTTACAGATTTTCCATTTGGAACAGTGGCTTTTTACCTGTTTTAATTTAGCTTCTTTTTGTTGCCAACTGTTCTGCCACATTTTTTGCAATTCTTTCTTTATTTGTTATAAAAAACGTTCTATGGGGATTTCATTAATTACAACAGCCAGATTTCTTTCACGCCTTCTCGCCATATTGGCTGCTTTGTCTGCCTGTTCGTTTCCAACAATTCCACAGTATGAAGTGACCCAGAAGAACATTATTTCCTTTCCCTTTTCTGTTAATTTCCACCAAATATTTCTAACAGCTCTCGCCAGTGTGGTAATCTGTTTTTTATTTTTGATGGCTAGAATAGCGCTCTTTGAGTCTGTTACCATGACCCAATTGTTACTACCAGTTGTCTCAATGTACGTTAAGGCCTCTCTTATTGTAATCAGCTCTCTACTAAACGCAGAGCAGATGTCCAGAAGTTTGAAATACTTTTGTATTTCGAGAATTGACAATATCGCATCCTACTTCACTGTTTAATCTTGAAGCATCTGTATATATATCACATCACATTTTTGATGTTTTTCAATTATTTCAAGGAATAAGTTTTGTGCTTCAATAGGGAGTAGCTTATCTTTTTGACAGCCAGCCATCGAGTTCTCTATAACCAGTGAAATATGGATCCATGGAGGGATAATAATGTCCGACATATCCAAAACAATTTCTAATTTTAATTCTGAAACATTTTCGTGAAATGTTTTTACGAAATTCCCCCCCCCCCATCTGTTTTCTGCTTCCTCTCCTCGGTTACAGCCAGTGAAATTTGTTTTTGTGATGCTAGGTGGAAAAATATTAGACCCATGTCCGAGGGTTCTTGATAATGGGTCCTAAGAACCGAGAAAAGAAAATTATATAATTGTAAGTTTTATTATTTTTTTGTAATACTGTTTTCTGAATTTGCTTTGCATGGATTTTTTTGTTATTATACATCAATCGATTTGCTTTTTTATATAAAATGAGAAAACATATTGCTAATTGTATTAAACAAATTTTTATATATAATAAATCACAAAAACCAATAGATGCTTCCAGTAAAGTAAGCCAAGTAAATTTTTTGTCGTGAAAAAATTATTCAAATTCGTTTTTAGGTTCCACTAAAACTCTTAATACGAGTTTGTTTTGAAATAAAAAATTATAATTTTTTTTTAGTTAATTAGGTATTAGAACTGTTCAATATTGAGGAAATCATCATTACCATAGAAAAATAAATATATTTGCTGTACTAACATCTACTATGAAGCCATTAACATTTACGGATCTCATGAGAGCTTTTAATAGAAGGCCAAATTCTGAGCAAAAAGTGTAGATTTTTTTATTGCAATGAAAATTGTAATTTAAGGGTTTTTAGAGGTGCAGGAAAGGAATACCAGCTTTGTTTATCTCAAAAAAAAAAAAAATATTTTATGGTTTAATTTTATTGTATACACTTATTTTTGCATCAAATCTCAACAAAATACCAAATTTTGTGCATGGAATCCTACTTTTTTTGGTACCCATCTGGTTTAGAAAAAATATATATATTTAGAATATGTACATCCTAGCTTTTTTCTAAGCTAATTTCACACCTTGATAAATCCTTAAATATGTAGTTTCATATCAATTGAAAAATAAATATTTTTTGTTCAAATTTTTGGCCTAAGGTCCAGTAAAGTATCCGAAAATCATCAAAGTTGTGATAACTTCAACATGGCTCCACTTGTCCACACGAAAAATATTAATTTTTTATATTATTATTTTCTGCCTTTGCTCTGTTTGGATTTCTAGGTTATATATTTATATATCAATCAATTTGTTTTTTGTATAAAATAAAAAAAATATATTGCTGATTTTTATTAAATAAATGTAAATTTTTACCATGAAAAAAATTCATATTTATTTCTAGTATCCTTTAAAACTCTTAAATATAAATTTGTTTTCAAATAAAAAAATACAAATCTTTGGACTTGATTTTATGGGAGCATTTCTTTTTTTTTTTTTTTTCATGTCCTTTACTAAAGCATTCATAACTCATGATATTTTATATCTCCAGTTTTAATTTATTTACATGAGTCTGGTTAGTGCCATTTCGTGTAGCTAATTTTCAAAGGGTAAATGGACTCATGTTGTAGTCAACATAATTTTTGTGATGTTTAGAAAAAATACCACCAATATAGGCAAAAATTATCAATACAATTTTTTTATTTTTTGATGACTATGAAAATTCAAGTTCAAGGATTTTTCGTTGTGAGAAATATAACTATCAACTTGATTTTTCCTTAAAAAAAAATGTTTTAACCCACTTTATTCTAAAGGTCAGTACAATCTTTTCCAATACTGTACTTATACTACAGCTGCATGCCAAATATATGTTTATAGCTTTGTTATACACATTACCACACCGACCATTTTGCGAAACGACTCAGGGACTCTCAAAAAGTGTATATCCATTGAAAACTCAAATTCAGAATTGTTCACAATCACAATACTTTCCCTTACTATTATTCATATTTATGTAAGCAAAAGTAATAAACAAATCAATTCAAATCCATGCAGAGCAAAAGTAAAAAACAAATCCATGCAGAATAAAAGTTGAAAATAATATTTAAAAAATCTTAATATTTTATAAAAAAAAAAAATATTGGCTCCTAGGAGACATTGCAAGAACCTTTTGACTGGTCTAATATTTTTCGTCCTAGTATCACCAAAAAGTTTTTCATTGGAATCTTCAATCCCATGTCCGTAGCCTCCTCTTGTCAGTTAAATCTGCTTTCTACTGCCACACCATGTCAACTCTGCTCAGCTCAGCTTTGTGGTGGCCACCTGGTCTTAAAGTTTATCTTTTTGTATAAAATATAGTAAGTTATTTGAATACCAATAGTGAAGTAGATAGTGCCAAATAATATCATTAACTTTTTGTTTTTGATAATTTATTCTAGGAAATTTTTTTAGATATATATTAGTTATATTTTATTCAATTTAACCCTTTGACTGGGAGCTCATTCGCTTGTTTCTACCAGCATCCTGAAATCCAAAAAGACGTCCAGAAAAAGATTTTTTTTTCCATACATTTGTTTAACATACTATTTTCAGCCATCCTGCTAGATCTTAGCTTTCAAAAATGCATTTTAACTTTTTTATTCAACTTTTGATTTACTGGATGTATGCCTTCCCTGCCGCACATAGCAATGCAAAATTAGAGCGACAATCCTGTACATCCTTTTCTTGCATATTTGCTCATTTCTGAAAAGCAAAATAACTGTTAGTGATCATAAAAATTAAATTATATTATTTCTAAAAAAAAAAAAAGGACATCGAAATGGAATTCGAATTATATATTTCTTTGGATTTACAAATTTTATTATTGCACTTATATTTATTTTGAATTTCAAACACTATTATATGAAATATATATATATATATATATATATAGGGGTCCATAGAGCCAACCGAATAAAAAAAAAAAATATATATATAGGATGTAAGAAACTTACATTTATTTGTTTAGTAGGCAGAGATTCACATCTACCAAAATCAGTATTCAGTCAATACCAAAATTAAAAAAAAAAAAATTTTAAATTAACTTATTAACATTTATTTGATGTATAAAACAATTAAATAGAATATAAATAAGATGATGGATATGGCTAATAACAGAGAAAGGACATACCTTGGGTCCAAAATAAAACTGCAACTGATAGCTTCCAACAAATGGTCAGAATCCGGAACGACCCCACAGAGTCAGCTACAGGGGACTAATGAATGCACCGACCAAGCCACAAGTCAAATGGTGAAGGCAGGATTTGCCTCTGTTTAAGTGGTAACCGCCCAGGCGGGAAGGCATATATCCCGTCCGCACCAGTGACCCAACTCTTTAACGGGAAGGCATGTATCCCGTCCGCAGTCAAAGAGTTAAACGTAATAAAATACTAATATAACATAAGATTATTAGTATCATATAATACATATTATTGATTTACATTAATAATTTTTAATGTATTAATTTGTGTCAGAACAAGAAAATCATACACTAAGACTCAAAGAAATTCATAGCTTGGTACATCGTCTTCCTTCGCAAAATATAAAAATGCTGGATAAACTGATAAAACATCTTAACAAGTAAGTTTTTATATTATTTGTTTAAATTAAATGAAAGATAGGAAATCCTTTCTCATTTCAGCCCTTGGATTTTTTATTAACCGATTTATTTGTTTTTTATTTTATGTTTAATGTAGAAATTGATGATCTAATTGATGATGAGCCATGATAAAACATGATTGTATTTTTTATTTGCCAACCGACCTACACATAAATTGATCGCAATTAAACATAGAGTTGAAGAATTGGAAAAACAAAGCAATCTTGAAAAATGTCTACTGTTCAGTTTTTCTATATATGCAGGCTTATGTGCTATTGACAGTGTATCATTCTATCTCAATGACAGTTTTGATTTTATATTGATTAAGCTGTGGATGCATGAGGGCAACAATAATTGTCCGATTTGTAATTCTGGAGAAATAGAGGACACCATTTTCTTCTTGAGGTCTTGTCATATCTTCAGCGAGATAAGGGAAAAATATTTTGGTTGGCAGACATGTTCCCCTGAATAATTATTTAGTCTATTGATAGATGCTAATTAGAAAGCCCTAAGTAATTATATGTACAGTTAGCCATATTGTAAACAAAATCCTTTGTTTTTCTCCTAGCAGCCATTTTCTCCTTTGGGGAAACTTCAGAGCAGCCATTTTCTTTTTCCTGAACTAGTGAAACTATTTTTCAAATTCAAACATCCTCTGACATTAACAAAACTAGATTAGTTTACTTTTTAACTGTTCAACATTAATTTACTAAATCATTTTGACAACTCCCAATAAAGGTATATATTTCATTTCTGCCCACATCCTGTATTTTGTATGCATATAATATATATGTATAATTTTTTTTTCTTTTAAATTAAATTATAGTGAATACTGAAACATCTGCACATTACTCATTCAATACAAACAATTTTTTTTTAAAGATTGTCTCTGATTTACATCTTAACAATTTTTTATTTCCTAACTTTTATCCTCTTCTTCTGAATTCTTTTCTTAAAGAATTATTCAAATGAATTGTTGACACATACAAAATTAATTACAATAAAATATGAATAATAAAATTAAATTTAGTACATACATTAATTTTAAACTAATTTACAGTAAATATCTTATATATAAACTATTATATAAAGCAATTACCTAAATTGTTCATATAATTTACTGAAGAAAATACAAGAAAAATAAGTAATGCAGATCGATATATAAGTAATAAAACAAACTATATATATTATTTACAACAATAATTACAGAATATATTACACATCTTCTGTACAACTAACTTAAAAATAACTGCTTTAATTCTTTATATAACATTCTAAAATATATAATAACTTCTATTATAGGAATAAACAAAGATAACACACTGATTAATCAAGGAAATTTTTAACTTTATTTTAAAATATGGATTTTACCTAATAATATTCGGCCAAAACAAATTACAACTTATTAAACTTTTAAATATTATTTTCAGAAATTTTATTTATATTTTAGTTATTTAATCAAATCTAAATCAATTATTTACTCTTGAGGTCCATTTCCTCCCATTAAAAAATTTATAATTAAAGTCCTAATCGTAACTATACCAACAACATAATTATACTATTTACAAAGATATCTACGCAATATATTTACAAGTTATCCAGATTGGATAACCTGACGATGGTTTCGCCAGGACCCTTTAGCTCGTCAACGGAAGGGGTGCTAAGTTAAAAAACTCTTTTTTATCCTCTGGAATAGGATAAAGACTAATGTGTCACACTATAACATAGTAAGCGGCCTGATCTATTATGGTCCAGGATCATATAACCCCCATAAAACTCGCATTCTAGAATGAGTAGGGTGACTGGTAATCCATCACACTCAAAATTATACTTAGTCAGTCCTTTTGGGACGACTCTTCATATAATCTTGTTCTTTCCTTAACCAGTCATCGAATTTTCCTAACTCATCTTTTAATCATAGAGTTGTCTTGCCTGGAATGAAAAGCATTTATGGACTGAAAAAATACCATACTTTTCTCTGCTGGATTTTAACCCTTCGAACTCAATTTGAAACTTGAGAAGTTCTTTGGTATCTATAAGATTAACTGGATGAGTTTCTAGCGGGACTTCTGTCTGTTGTCACTAATTTTTCTTCCAAGAGTTTCTTTCTCTTTTCTTAAGAGATTTCCTGATCCATTATCAATGGAAGAATTGATTTTGCTCAGCTCAGCAGTAACAGTTGTTTTCTCAGCCAGTTGGGTTTCTTGAACTTCAGTTACATTCGCCATAATTTGAGTTCCTAAGTTCTCAAAACCTTGTTTTAAAATTTCCTGTTTATTATGAGATTATAATTTATGATCTTCAAATTTTGTTATCAAATGATCACATTTTTTATTCAAATCATTTTTAATATCAACTTTAAATTCATCCGATTGGGTTTTTATATTTTTATCTAAATTATAGCCATTAATTGTTGAAACATATTATTAGTATCAGTACGATTAAAATTGTTGCTACTACTTATATCAATTTTTTCCATTTTCACTAAACTCATGAACTACATTTAATCTCAATAGACTTTTGCTTCCCGTGCAACCTCTGTTAGGGTTTTCTTATTGTATATTCTCATCATGTATGCTTTGTACAACTCACTCTTCCTCATTTTCTACAATGATAACATTCCCATCAGATTTTCCAAGGATTATATTATTAAGATCTCTTCTTTCCAATATCTCTTTCTGGTTATTCTCCATATTACTCAAAAATCATTAATAAAAACTATACAATTAAAATAAATTCTTTCTGTAAGTTGTGATCTGATTGTCGTGACCTAATTTTTAAAGAATAAGGCCACGCAAAGTTGGGCTCCAAAATATAATATTTCTTTATTCTGACTAGTAATATCATTCCTGGAAGATCACTTCATACTGTAGCGATACTTTCAAAAGAAATAAGAGGTTGTTAAATAAAAAACAAAATTTTAAGATTCTCGATGAATTAAACTGCAATTTATAATTATTTTATATCAAGGTATGGGATACTGACAATCAGATCAAAACACTCATACAAACTAAAATTAACTACACTAAACACCTTTTTTCTATAAACACTGTTTCTTTTTTTGTGGCACTGAATTTATTTTTCTTCAAACACTTTCCAATATACTGCCAAACACACCTTCCTAAATGGCTATAATCTAATCCTTTCAAATCAAAGGCTCCCTGGGACATCCTCTCTCTTGTCTCTCCAAACATCAGTTGAACCAGCCAAAACAAATTCCTTTGTTTTTCCTCTATCAGTCATTTTCTCCTTTTCAGAGCCTGTTACCTGATGTACATATCCCCTATTACTTCTGTACAACTAGGCCGACCCTGTCTTTTTCTTCTAGAGTGTTGTCCAGTTTCCTGGCGACTTCATGCTGGGGCTCTATCCTTCTTCTGTCCATATCACAGCCCTAACACAGTCAAATTCACTTAAATGACTTACTCCAGCCATTGGAAGATAAAATTAATGTGTATTAAGCTAAGTTGATGAGAAAGAACTAATGAGATCAAGTTATTGAGGGAGAAATTGTATCAGTGTTATGCTACTGTCTGTGAAAATAAAGATTAAAATAATCTCAAAAAGTAAATAAAGCATTATTTATGGTTTATATTCGCTCTGAAATCCCTTAACTAACAATAGATAAAGAAAATAGAAGCTGGCAAAAAACTTGTTTAATTTTAACATAAAATATTGTAGTGGTATGCATTAATTCTGTATATCAGTGTATGTATGTCAATATATATATATATATATATATATATATATATATATATATATATTTATAAAAAACATCGAACGAATGAACACTTAAAATTTGCCTTGCCAGAAGCAAGTAATTGAACTCTGTGTGAAGTTGGTGGCTGCTACATTATAATCACCTATTACTTCGTTCTGGCTAGGTAATTGATGAATGTTCATTCCTCTGATGTTTCACCAGACATCTATAAATGAGTCTCTTCATTTACTTCTCAAGGATGAAAATGAAAGTCAACTGAAATTCCAGTAAATCTTTTTGATGCATTCTATTGCCTGAAAGTTAATATTACTGCCTGAAGGTAGTAGAATCAAGTTTATGAATGAGCAATACAGCCGTCAGGTAAGACTAGATTCGTGTATAAAATCCTTCTGATGAACAAAAGATTTTATTTATCTTAATTCTTAAGTTATATATACCTATATGGTTCAATATATAAAAAAATATATATACAGTATAAATAAATAAGTTATACAATGTTTAAAATTCTTGCTTGATAGCTTACAAATAATTGACCCTATGATTCAATAAGAATTTTCTTTCTACAATTTAATTGGTAGTGTAGAGCTATAATGTATAGTTGAAATAATAAATTATTAAGAACCTTAAGATATTGACCCCTCCCCCCCCCCCCATATATTGATTATTATCGATTTGCTTTCATTTTTAGTTGCAGTTTTTTTATTTACTATTATTTATTATTTTCATTATGCATCCTAATATTTTTCAGTGTATGCATTCATGCTGACAAGAATCTAATGACTGTTAGCAACTTGGGAGTTTGTTTTGGGCCAACTTTATTGAGACCTGAAGAGGAGACTGTTGCTGCTATTATGGATATTAAATTTTGTAACGTAGTGGTTGAAATCTTAATCAAGAACTATGCAAAGGTAATTTTCATTTACTTATTTACTTCATGGTTTGGAAATAATTGACTGTAGTTCGTATTTAGGAAAAGTTGATTGGAGGTGTTGTCAACAGGCACATACTGTAGTAGTGTATATTTTGTTAGCCTACGTTTTGACATATATTCTAGATTTTCATCAGGGCTAAAAGAACAAGATACAAAAGAAAATTATTGTTAATCGATACAAAGTTAATTGATACAAAAAAAATAAAATATATGTTAATGTTTAATTAGTACAAGATACAAGATATCAGGCACAGATTTATTTTATGGGTGATAAATGACAAGTAGTAATCAAAATGAGCTAAAACAGAATAAATTAATAGACAACATAGATGGACATGCAAACATTAAAAAATGGAACAAAAGTTAATTTTATTGGTTCATAAGTCAGGTGAAAAGGGACTTAATTGGCTGTTAGAGTGTTTGTTGATCATAGTCAGTTAAGTACAAGTAGCTGAAAATAAGATAAAGTTATTATTACTTTAATCACTACAAGGATTTAATAGCTGGACTGTATTAATTAAGGTATTAATTGAAGGGTGGTGGTGGAAACTGAATAGTAATAAACACAAGAAGGTCGGTTTGTTTTATTATAAATGTGGGAGGGATGTGGAGTAAATATAATAAAATAGGTGCTTTATGAAGGGATGGGTGAAATCTTAGTTAAATGTACTAGTTGTTAATGTTTGTAAAAATACATTATATATATTTGCTCAATCATATCCCATATCCCAATAAATGGATTGGCCGTGCAGGACCAGTGGCTTGGCCTGCACGCTCTCCAGACCTGACACCACTAAATTTTTTTGTTTTATTTAACAAAAAGTCTATTTAAGTCCGATCAATGACCTTAATTCCTTACGAAGAATTGAATCTTGTGAAACAATAACACATATCCAGTGCCGTCCTTCCACTGCTGCTGTTGAAGAAAGATGCTGAGCCTGTCTTCATGCTCAAGGAAATGACTTTGTACAGCATTTAATATGGATGTTAATGTTTACATTTAATTAATAAAGTAGTTAGAACAAATAAATAGGTTTTATTTATTTCATACAACGTAAATAATTCATAACAACGAAAATATTTAGATGTGAATATCTCCTAAACAAAGCATTTGCGGACATACCTTCAGAGGAAATTTTTTTCTTGTTTTGAGGTCCTTAGTTCATTTTTGAAATTTGGCCTCTTAACTCTGAAACACCCTGTATGTATGTATATATACATATGATATTGGAGAAAATGAAGATGGAGTTTAAGGAATTAAAGAATGGACTTTAATAATTTATTGTTTTTATAAATTGAAAATTTGGGAGTAGGAAAGAGAAAAGTTTTGTTTATCAGTTTTTTTATTTAACGGTTTTTGTTCTAATTAGATGAAAATGCTCTCAGTGAATGGTCTTGTGTCATGATTGTTAACTGTGGCAGGTATGGGAGTATTATGTGGTCTACAACATTTGAGTGATGTTGGAGAGGAATGTAGAGGTTAGAAAGTTTACTATAGCATTTAAAGGCAATTCTTAGGCTGGGAATGGAGGAGCATAAAGACTTTTGATTTTTGTCAGAAAAGAGAGGGATATAAAGTAAAGATCTATACAGAGAGATTGAAGAGAGGTTTCGAGAGATAAGCAGGCGGTGGTAGGATAGGACCAAGAAAATCCAATGAGGGGTTTTATCAGGATTGATAATAAAAAGATCATCGACAAACACACACACACACACATATATATATATATATATTCAAAAATATTACTAAACTACTATTCCCAACATTTTTATTTTTCATCGCATTGATGATTATTTATTGTGTTTTTTGTTTCATTATGCTCATAATTGATTGTTGTACTTTCTGTATTAACTGTCTTTTTTATTGTCTTCCCATTATTTATTCTATTTCTATCAGTTTAATACATTACACTAATAATGCGTAATATAGTATGGTCTACTAGTATATATAATATATTGTATTTCTATTGATTTTTAAATTCACTTATGTTATATTTTTTATTGTTTGCATTTCCATCTATTTTGTCTTTTATTTTACTTTTTTTATGCTCATTTACATTTCTATTTGTCATTTTTCTCACCCTCTACAATAGATCTGTACCTGATATCTGGTAACATGTACTAATTTGACATTAACTGATATATTTTTTTTTTTTGTATCTTGTACCAATTAACAATATTTTTTTTGTACACTACTATCAGATATAGTATTAGTCTGTTGAGCCCACCCCGATCAACTGCATTCTTTGGCTATTTTCTACCACCTTCTTGAGTCCAATCTGGCAACATGACCAGCCCATTTCTATTTCATTAAAACAGATTTTTCTAATAGGTTTAGATTTCAATAGAACTTTGGGTTAGCTAAGCCTTTTATTATTATTATTTTTAAAAAAAGGACACTGATGGAGGGAATGGAATTATATATTTCTTTATGACCTAGAGATGGTTGACCATGATATAATATGAGAAGTAGTTGGTCTGGGGGTGCGGTCAAATATAATAAATAAAGTAGTATTTTTAATTGTTATGCCAAAACAATTAAAAATTGGCATAACGATTAAAAATACTATTGTAAAAATTTAGTATTTATTTGACCGCACCCCCCGACCAACTCCTTCTGATATATATTTCTTTGTATATTCAGATTTTTTTCTTACCTAAAAAAGTTCCATATTGAAACATTGTGCAGTTATAAATTTTATTATTGCACTTACTTTTATGTTGAGTTTCAAACACTTTTATATTATATTAATATATATATATATATATATATATATATATATATATATATATATATTGTTTTTAGGTTGATGGAAAAATGATAAAACAACTAAAGTATCATTTAAATTCTGTATATTTTTACATTTATTTATTAAATTATATATATATATATATATATATATATATATATATATATATATATATATATATATATATATATATATATATACATTTATTTACATTATATGTATCTCTCTCTCTCTCTCTATATATATATATATATATATACACATACACATATATATTACATTTATAAAAAAAAATATAAAATTAACTTATTGACATTTATTTGATGTATAAAACATTTAAATAGGATATAAATAAGATCATGTATATGACATAAATAACAGAGAAAGGACACACCTTGGGTTCATAATAAATCTACCATTAATAGCTTCCAAATGGTCAGAATCCGGAACGTCCGCATTGAGTCAGCTACAGGGGACTAATGAATGCACAGACCAAGCCACAAGTCAAATGGTGAAGGCGGGACTTGTCCCTACCTCTTTAAGTGGTGACAGCTAAGGCGGGAAGGCATATATCTCGGTCGCACCAGTGATCTAACTCATAATGGAAAGGCATGTATCTGAACGGGTAAAGGGTTAATGTTTTTTAGGCTCCAATATTTTTTTCATCCCAAGTTTATCCTTCTATTTATTTCTACGGTTCTGTTTTTTATTGATATGGCCTGTCTTAGGTACACATACTGTTCGACAAAGTTTATTTGTTTGTTTCTGATAGTGGAGAATTGAGTTCTAAAGCCAGTTTGTTCATAGGGGTGGTTCTCAGGGGTGGCTGTATAACTGGGATGTCAGTTTTTTTATAATTATTGCAAATACTATATATATGGGAAAAAAAAAGCGTTATTGGTCTATAACTATCAATATCCTTTGTGTTTTATCTATCGATCATCCGTGATTTAACACATGAGATCGATTATTGAATATTGTCGAATTAATGATAATTAAATCAATTTGTTACGGTCTTTAATTTGGAAAAATCGTTTCCGCAACAAACTTGCTGGATGCTTAATGGAGACGGCAGGGTTCGCAAAAAAAATAAATAAAAATAATCAAGTCAATTCCGAACTTTGTCCAATCGGCACATTGAGTTATCTGAGGAAGCGGTAACTTATTCCAGCTAGCGTCGTCAGTGTCTCCCCAATCTATCTCCTCAAGCTGTGTAAATGTTCATTTCCCAACTAGTAAAATCAAGCAGCACTCGTCGCTAATAACCACACGTTCTTGGGGAGGAAAAGAAAATCCGGTTTACCCCGTAAAACTAAAGTATTTTACTCACAAAAATTCTTAATGTGCCTCTACACTCGCAAGGTGTACCGCCATCTCTCTCTAAACTCTCTTTTGTTTTTCCTCCCAATCATCTGTTTGTTATTCTAATCCGAAAATAAAATGAATACTTAAAACTAAGACTTATTATAAACTAATACTTATTATTAAAACTAATACTAATTAATTAATTTTATCTAACCCTCTTCGAGGTAATAAAAAAACATTACAAACTATTTTTTTTTTTTTTTTTATTTGTCATCACAAACTGTTGTAAAAACATAGATATCAAATAGAAATATTATAAAAGAAGAATTCTACTTTTTCAATTACAATTTGAATATTCTCTGTATTCGACATAACAAATTGGTGACGAGGATAAAGTCAAGTAGGTACTACTATTACAGCAAATTTATACCAGTGTTCTAAATAATTACTTCCTTTTTGAACAATCTTTGTCAATTTGTTCATAAAAAATAAAATTAAAGTAAAAGCATTCAATTCATAGAAGAGGAAACAACAAAAATGAATGCCAAACAATTTTCACAATTTTTGGCCGGACAACAGGCACAATTTCAAGCTTTTTTAAATGAAAATCAACCCCATTCAATCACAGTCTTACTTTTTGAACACTTTACTTACAATTTTAAAAATTTCGATAAAACTAAAGAACATTTTTCTCAGTACCTAGAAAGATTTGAAAATTTTTTACTAATGGAAGGCTTAAAAACCAATGAAAGACTATTTTCTTAAATAACATAGGTGCAGAAACTTAAAAACTATTAAAAATTGCAGCTGCCCCTCAAGAAATTTATAACTTAAATTATAAAGATGTATGAATGAATGAATTTTTTATTGAGTATTTATACAATAACATACAACAAAAGTATCCAACTCAATAAAAAAATATATACGGCTGGTTCTTAAAACCGTCACCTGGAGGCTGACCTTGGCAAAATAAGTATTATTGATTCAATAATATAAACTAAAACCTAATATGTTAATTTGAATATTTAATGGTTGACCGTTGCATTATAAAGGAAGGAGATGGTCCGGGGTTGCGGTCATAAAAAGGCTAAATAGTGGTAAAACTATTTTATTGGAAGGCTTTCAATAAAATAGTTTTACCACTATTTAGCCTTTTTATGACCGCAACCCCGGACCATCTCCTTCCTTTCTAATATGTTAATGTTAATAAATAGGGTGTTAATGCTAACAAATACAGAAATACAAGGTATCAGCTCTTAATATCACAAATATAATTACACATATATTAATACATAAATATATAAATACATACATAATTGGTAAATGGTTGATTGTCGTGGATAATGAAGAGAAGAATAGTTGGGGTGGTCAGTCAAAAAAGAAGGCAAAAATAAATGATAATATTTATTTTTACATATGCCAAAAGCAATAAAGTAATAATAAAGTAAAAATAAATATTATCATTTATTTTTGCCTTCTTTTTTGACTGACCACCCCAACTATTCTTCTCTTCATAAATACATACACATTTTTAATATAAATATTTTAATATAATTTCATAAATAATTTTTTCTGGCTTAAACATTATTCATCTAATAATTAAACTCTTTGCATAAGGCATATCTGTATTGCCAGTCTCCTTTACAATAATTGGATAGACTTACCCAGTTTTTTCCGTCTAAATGTGCAATCTTTTCCAAAATATTTTTTCCTAAAGTCCGCCTGAACAGGACATACACCAAGGAAATGCACTATATTTTCTATTGCATTCATATTGCATACTGAACATAATTTATTTATTTACAGTTTAATTGTATTAATTCTTCTCTGGCCTTAAATATCCATTTTATTATCGTTTCATTATATTTCTTATCGAAATAATTGTTCCCCTATATATCATGATTTAGGTTTTTGTATATATTAGTTCTATTTGAATTTTTTGTTATGGTTTTGAACCGATTTTCTAATTCTATTGCCAGTTTTTCTTGTATTTTCTGAAAATGCACTTTCCATTTATTTATGCTATTAAAATCAAAATCTATTTGATATTGACTTTTTATAAATTTTACCTTTTTATACCAGCCTATTTCTTTTTTAATTATTTTTTTTGCTATTATTTTGGGTAACCTATTATCTGAATACTGCACAACTCTATATATATAACCATGGTGCGCTTTTATATTTTCTAGATACAACGGTGTTAATTGCGTTTCTATATGAATAATATATGCAGGTGTATATCTGGATAAGTTTAATATTTTTTTACTGCAATAGTACTGAACTTTTTTAACTTATTTATATTTACAACCTCCCCACACCTGTGGACCATACGCTATAATTGATTTAACTTCAGCTTTGAAAACTTTAAGTTTCGAATTCAAATTTATTTTATTATAAGTAAATAGCTTCTTCCATATAACATTTATACTGATCATTGTTTTAGCAAATTTTTGTTGAAAATGCTTACTCATTGATAAATTTGGCATTAATAATATACCTAAATACTTATAACAATTTACTATCTGTATAGTTTGTTTATTAAATTTCCATTTTTCGCCAGTTTCCCTCCTTTTCTAAATATCATAATTTTAGATTTATTTAAATTCCACGTTCTACAATACATTTCCAAATTATATATCATATCTTGAAGTACTACAGGGCTTGTGGCCAAAATTGCGATATCATATGTATATGCTAGCATTTTAATTCTTTTGTTATTAATAGATAATCCACCACCCAAACAATTCTCTAAATCATTGATATAGCAGGAAAACAAAAATGGACTCATAATATATATCTGTTTTAGTCCTCTCTCTGTTTTAAAACTGTTTGTTAATTCATTACCTATCCATATTGAGCCCTCAGTAACATCATACAATGCTTTTATTAAATTTATAATCTTTGAGGAGACTCCTAGTTCTATAAAGATGTAATTGAAACTTTAAAGAATCAATTATGTGTAAAATCAAGTATAATAGTAGAAAGACATAGATTTTTATAAAAAAAAAAACAGAGTGCAAATGAACAATAAATGTATACGCAAATGAATTAAAAAAGATAATTCCTAAATGCCAATTTCTGTGTGAATGTGGGAAGTCAGTTTCAGATATTTTTTAATTATCACAGTTCATCAGAGGCTTTAGGGACCAATCAATGAGATAACATTTGCTGTTACAAAACCCAAAAACATTTAATGAAGCTGAATCTAAGGCTTTAGCATTAGAGGAATCTATTTCGGACAATAATGAAATTTCCGGAGAAAACATCATAGACCCCTCAATTAGTAGACTTTCGAGGCCGAGTAAATTTTCCTACACCATTCATGTCCAACGAAACTCTAGAACCCATCTGAGAATTTAACAAGAACAAAGTATAAATTTTAATAATCTTGGAATTGATGGACTATGCTTTTGCTGTGATCGTAATAATCACAACGCCAAGGATTGCAGAATAAATCTTAAGAAGATAAGGTGTAAACATTGTGAAAAAACAGAGCACGTAGAAAAAGTATGTTTTAAAAAGTTCGTTTCTGAAAAGAAAAATATTAACTCTGTGAACAAAGAAGACACAGATTCTGACTTAAGTTCATCAGAAGCTTACGATATTTACCCAATTATTGATATTTACGCAAAGCAAATTGTTCAAAAATTTCAAGATGTGCAAAAATATTTTGTTAGTATTAAAATAGAAAATAAATTCCAAACTTTTGAAGTTGATTTAGGTGCAGGACAGACACTATTACCAAAAACTAATTTTTCTGAGCTCCATCTAAATGCGAAAATTCAAAATACAAACATACCGTTCAGATCCTATACATCCGAACTTGTTGTTCCATTAGGTTATGTAGAAGTTCCCGTACAATATAAGAACATTGTATCCAAAGAAATCCTCTTTGTAGTTCCAGTTAGATTAACACTGTTACTTGACCGTACTTGGATAAGGCACTTAAATATCAAATTAGAAGATTTGGACAGCAGAATTCTATTATTTTACTCTTTATATAATTTTTAATAATGAAATCTACACCGAATTGACTTGTCTCTGCTTCTAAATTCATGACAAAATTTTCTGTCTGGTGTTTCAGCCATATTTTTTCCTGATTTCTGCAAGTCCAACTTTATCTCATTTTATACATTTTGAAGCCTCTTCGAGTTCCCATATGTCTGAGGAATGTCCGGGTATTTAAACTTCCAATATTCAGTCCGGTCTTTGTTTTATTTTGTTGTTATTTATTATTTTGTTTGCTATATTTTTGTTTCTTCTTGTGAGAAATCACTTATTGTTCTTTCTGAGTTTTGAGTGGAATTCATTCTGCATCAGTCTCTAAATCTCTCTAGGCTTTGAGATCTATTGCTTTGTTTTACATTTTCTTTAGGTTTTTCTTGTTTCTTTATATACTAATTTCTTTGCTGACAGACAGCCTCTGGTGATTTTTCTTCACTCCTGTTTCTTTCCCCTGTTTGAGTTTGATGCATTCTTCTAAATTGAATATTTTACCATAAATGATTAATTTATCGTACTTAAAATAGCTTTATGGTTCAATCTCTTAGCTTCTGAGTTTTGGGTGGAATTTGTTCTGCATCAGTTCTAAATCTTTCTAGACTTTGAGATCTATTGCTTTGTTTTACATTTCCTTTAGGTTTTTTTTGTTTCTTTGTGTACTAATTTCTTTGCTGACAGCCTCTCTCGTTGTTCTCTTATTCTTCTAACTGGTGGCGGAAAATCTTCTTTAATTGAGATATTTTATGTTGGAAGCAATAAAACATGCCTCAGAATAGGGCACACCACACTCACTTATGGAAACTTCCTCGACAGGAGTTTGATGCATTCTTCTAAACTGAATATTTGACCATAAATGATTATTTGTCGTACTTATAATAGCTTTATGGTTCAATCTCTTAGCTTCTATCAAATATTAAAACTGTTCTCTTATTCTTCTAACTGGTGGCGGAAAATCTTCTTTAATTGAGTTATTTTATGTCAGGAGCAATATAACAAGCTTCAGAATAGGGCACACCACACTGACTTATGGGAACTTCCTCGACAGGTGTTCACCAGCAAGATGTCACACCTGCAACATACTTTTAACAATCAAATACATCTTAAAAGATTGTCTGAGCTTGGATCCATCAAGGATTTTATATCGCTTCCCGGGATATCAACAAGCCTTACTACCAGAAAATCAGAAGAATTTATTCCGATTTCTAAAAAAAAAACACAATTACTACAGATATATTTAAACAATACAATCTTTATACACATATTCGCAATCAGAACTGACCTATGCAGCTGTAAAAACGTAATCTTTATAGAAATATCTTAACAACACAAGCATACCTAAAACAACACAATCTCTACAGAAATATTGTAATGGAATTCCAATAAGGTGCCTCTAACCTATATAGTTGCACACGACACACATAATATAATCAAATAAATAATTTTAAAGTCTAAAATATTTATATATCTAATTTTAATGCTGTGAGTTTTTAAAAACTCTGAAATCCACGGTGGGCGTTGATGACCTACTGGTTTTAAGGCTATAAACAACAAAGAAACAAACCTTAAAATCCATTTACCAATTTCCTGTGATAAATCAAATAATTAAAGATGCCTTCTTTGTTTTAGATTTTCAAGACTCAACCGGAGCCTCTGGAACAAGTGCTTGAACAATGTTCCTCATCATCAGAACAACCTCAGCCATTACCACGGCATAAATATCATCAAAATCCTCCATCAGTTGTATCTCAGGTCTTAAATTTTAGTATTTATAATTTAAAATTCAACCTTTTTTATTTGAAATTTATTCTGTCTACTACTGCTCTTTAAGCAAAAATAAAATAGTTACCTTAACTGCCTGGATATAGATATAATAAGCAATGCTTTAGAAAAGCAGATCTCTAAGGTGGTGGTTATAGGATCTGACCCAGATTCAGTAACTATATTAGTAGCTCTTAATCCAGAAAACTAGGAAATTTATTTTTGTAAACTCTTAGTCAGCACTAAGCCAAATAAACAATATTATAACATTTAAATTTAATCAATCTGTACATTGATGTTAGAGTAATTTTGTTCTTAGCCCATACAATAACACAATGTGATACTAAATTTTGTTCATGGTTTAGGAAAAATAAAAGCAGTTGAAGTAGTTAAATCTTTGGCTGAAGCTCAACTACAAGTTTCAGTATTTTTACTTGAAAAAATTGTTCAATTAAAAAACAAAATAAATAATTGTCACCTAAACCTCCACTGAAATTGAGTCTCTCGCATAACAGACTATTTTATCCATGTTATGGATTGACACACCTGCCATGTTGACTAAAATAGTATCCCCAAAAAGTTTTAATAACATAAAATTCAATAAAATTTTGGTATAAGATTGATTTATTAAATTACTTCATTTCTATTTACTTGTTTAAATAATCACATTTTGTATTGTTTAAATCTGTTTGAGTTTCTTTATTAAAGTTATTCAGTATAATTAAGTGTGAAGTGTATGTACATTAAAATAATTCATATGGTTAGGATATTAAAATTTTAAATAATTTCACTCTTTTGGGGTGGTTAGTTTTTATTTTTCATTTATAATAATAGTAACTTATATATTTCAGACTGTCAGTAAACCATTTTATGATGGGACCTTGGCTTCCAATTTAAGTTCCTCATTAATGAATGTTACCACATCTGTTACTTCTTCAGAAGATCACTATGCTAACTCTTCTCCTGGTAGAGGTACTGGATTTCCGAGAACTACAACAAATGTTTCAGCTTATTCCGAAGGAAACCTTTTATCTGTCTCCCCTGTTAAACAACCTCATACAATATACCCAAGTCCTCAAGATATTCGGCATAATATTTACGGTTCATCTGGATGTAAGTAATTTTTTTTATTTTGTTTTGTTTTACTCAATTTTTTCTGTTTTATTTATGCATTATGTATTTTTCAGTTTTTTCTGATCCCTTGAACAGTACAAGTAGTTCAAATGAAAGTGTATCTTCGCTGACTCCTCGAGATGCCAGTTCTAGTTCATTGCAAAAGAGCACTATTTGTAAAAGTCAAGAACATTGTTTAAAATTTCCATTGAATCAGAAAAATGTGTATGTTTATTTCATTTCTACTTGATATATTTTTAGTATGTAATTGAATACATTGCTTTAATGTGTTAAATAACCTAGAGATATGTGTGGATGCAATCAGTACATTACACATATTATACATTAATGTAAGATTTTAAAAAAATGTAGTTTTATTAAATGTGTCTCCTTAGTGTTATTGAAGGAATTCTTTGATTTAATATTTAATATTTCAGTTTACTATGTCAATGTTTCAATTTATTTGTTGATGGTTGATCGTATGGTTAATCAATGAGATTGTCCAGGTGGCGATCAAGAATAGCATCTAATAGTGGAAATTATTCGGTTGTCCAGAAAATAATGCAGAATTTTGAGTTTTCTTTAAAATATCACTCTATATAACAAACTGGTTACGTTTACTGGATTATTCATTTGCATGAATGTCAACACTTATTAATCCTCTTCCAAACAGTAATGCTTGTTTACCTCTCTAGCATTTTGCTGCTTAGAAATAATTCAGTCTTTACTAAGATGTCAAGAAGTTTTCATATAATTTTGTTTTACGAGTTTAAACTCAGCCGGAATGGGATTCAGACGGCCAAAAACATCAATCTAGTTTGGGGTGAGAGCAGCATTAATGAGTGCTCTGTTCAATTGTGCTTCAAAAAATTTCAGGAGGAAGACTTCAGCCTTGAAGACAAAGAAGATCATAGAAGGACTTCCTCTCTTAATGACGATGTTCTGCGGGCTTTAGTGGAAAAAAATCTCAGAACAACTGTTTAAGAACTTGCAGGGAAACTTAACCTTAACAAATAGACCTTTGATGACCACCTCAAGGTGGTTGGAAAGGTAAAAAAAGCTAAGAAATTTGGGTTCCACACACATTAAATAACCGCCAACAAAAAAAACAGTGTTATGGAGTTTGTGCTACTTTTCTTTGCCGAAACAAAAGCGACCCTTTTCTGTCCAGAATTGTTAGTGGTGATGAAAATTGTTTACGATAACAGTAGATGTTCTGGATAGTGGCTTCGTCAAAGGAGAAGCAGCAAAACATTTTCCAAAGCCCACAACTCATAAAAAAAAAGTGATCGTATCGTAACCAAATTAATGTAATGCATCAGAAATTGGCAAGAATGAAGCCATCTTTAGTCAATCGTAAGGGGCCGATTTTATTACATGACAATGCCCAGCCACATGTCTCACGTGTGACGTCACAGAACTGTTGGAGCTTGGATATGAAACTCTGCCACATCCGCCCTACTCTCCGGACCTCTTACCTATGGATTATCATTTTTTAGACACCTGGACCACTACTTATGTGACAGAAAATTTAATGGATAAAGAGAATTAGAAAATGCGTTTTTGGAGTTTATAAATTTTAAAGATGGGAAATTCTATTACGTGGGAATAGGAAAGTTGCCAACATGTTGGCAGACATGTATTGATAGTAGTGGAGACTATTTTGATTTAATAAAACAGTTATAAATTTTTCTTTTTAAACTAAAATCCTGCATTATTTTCCGTACAACCCAATATTTATTAAATGCAATGTTTTGACCCACATTGTAGGTCTTCTTCAATGTTGTCTTTATATCTAGCAAGACGTGTAGGCATCAACTTGTGTTACATTTCATTTTGAACAGAATATGAAAACGTAAATCAATTCCTAAGTTTAATGATTCAGGTAATATTCATAACAAATCCTTGTTTTTTTTTCATTAAGTTAGTGATGATCTCATTACGCTTTTGTTAAAAATCCTTAGATGCCTTTATTTAATTAACTTGTTATACAAAGGTCCAGAATCTTGAAACTTAGTAGTTGCCAAGAATAATTAACTAATTCATCAATCCTGTCAGTTTGAATTCCTTCATTGTGAAGATTCCTGTTGTATTCAGACTGCAATATCCAAATCTTAGTTGACAGTATACTTGTTCATAGGTACATATTTTTGAGACCTTTGATAATTATATGTACAATATTATGGAAATTTCATTTATCACCAAAACACACAAACATTCACATATAAAAAATTATCTATGTGCTGTTTACTAAGGCGGAACCATGAATGTGAAAAATGAACATCCATAGGTCATTTATTGTACTCAAATACTGTGGATGCGATTGATTTCTTTGATTTTTTAGAGCCAAAAAAAATTTCAAATCTATTTTTTCATAATTAGGAATTTGCATGTTCTTAATTTTGCCTTAGGGTCGATGATATAATTATTGACTTATATTAAATTTTTTTTTATCATTTCAATAATATACTATGGGTATTTTGTTTGGTTTCAGGCGAGTGCGTACTTTGTATGCTTGCCTTGGGGAAAATGATGGTGAATTATCATTTGAACCAAATCAGATAATTACAAATGGTAAGATTATTAATTTATTATTTTAGTTCTAGGTACCTTCACTTCAATTACTACTAATTCAATAACTAATTTAAACTCCCATTTAGAGTAGATAAATATATTTTTAATGCATTTTTTCTAAAGATAAAAATACTTTTCATAATGTTTTAAAGCATGTAAAGGTTAAACTTTTTTTTTTGTTACTTGATTAGTAATAAATGTTTAAAGTTTTATCAAATTATCAATGTTTCAATAATGTTTAGCAATATCAATAACTTTTTCTATAACTAGATGTATAATGTACATATTGTGTAAGGAAAAGTATAATAAATTAAAATAGAACTATAGTTGTTCATGTGGTGCAGTCAGTAATAAAACACAGTTCGGGAACATTGTATGGCTGATAACTAAACCTAAAGGCTTCCGGTAATGGGTCTCAATTGGTGTTCTATTCCTATCTTGGCGTTAAAATCACCTATGATTAATTTTTGTGGGTTGATGGTTGACTATAGTGAATAATTGAAGAGAAGGATGGTTGGGGTGATCAATCAAAATGAAAATAGCAAAAATAAATAATAATATTTATTTTTACATTTGCCAACATCTTGCCCCGAAGTTTAGGCCTTCATCAGGGCTAAGAAAAGAACCAGACAACAATAGGTATGAGAAATTATAAAAATTGAATAATAAAGAATTAAAATTAAAAAAGGTGAAAGGTATAGACTAAAAAATGTAGGTAGAAAAAACTTAAAAGGTAAAAGGAAGTAGATAAAGTGAACATTAAAGTAATATAAAGTAGGTAGAATAATAACAGTAACAGAGAACTAAGAAATAAGTAATAATAACAGGAACAAAGCACGGACCAATGAAATAAACATTATCAAAATAAGGTAACATAAGAAATGAAAAATGGTTATCTTAGAATAAAATGTAAAACAGAGAAAAGGAACATGAAGTTATATAAGGAAATAATAAACATAAATAGAAAATTAAGATATTTTAAAATCTATTAAAAATACTGACTACGTATAAGAGAATAAAAAGTTAAAATAATGTAAAAAAGATGAATGAGAAAATGTATCAATATATACAAAATATAGTGACGGGAAGGAGGAAAAAAGGAGAAAACTAAGATAAGAAAAATAAACAAACTGCTCAATCCAACAAGCGTGGACAGACAGATGTATAGTAGCGAGAGAGGAAGCTGTAATGTCCGTCATCTGTAACAGATCGACTAAAAAATGTGAACTAAAGCACAGGAAACTTATATAATGGACGAGAGATATAATATGTAAATTTTATGAGTTATTAAATAAAAGTTTAATTGAAAGAGGCTGCAAATAACGTGGAGATAGTATATACCAGAGATCATAAAATTAAATAATAATAGAGGATTACTGAAATAAACCTAAAATGTGAAATTAAAGAAAACAAAAAAGAATTGAAATACTGTAATATAGTATATAGTAAGGATAATATAGTATAATAATATATTATAGAATAAATTAAGCAGATAGTAAAATATTTCTTTAATCTCACATTTTAAGTTTATTTCAGTAATACTCTATTATTATTTAATTTCATGATCTCTGTTATATACTATATTGAGGCTGTGTTATATCGAAAGAAATGTGTTTTTGTATACCACTTTCTTGGTAAGTTTTGACATTTCTTTCTCTCCTTTATCTTGCCATCGACCCATCCATACTTATTCAGGTGAGATACAAGATATTTATAGTCACTTACCTGTTCTATTTCTACTCCATTAAGTCTTATCACTCTGTCCACAGGGTCAGTTTTCCTTCCTAGCCTCGTAAATTTGGTTTTCTCTAAATTGATTACCATATTTATTTTCTTTAGCTCTTGTTGGAGGGTACAAAGGTTGAATTGGAGGTTTCTACAATTGCTTCCAAATACGACCAGTTCATCAGCAAAAGCTATTGTTCTATGTGCTATTTTTTGGAGTATTCTGATGGCCAGATGAAACTGTCTCGGGTTTGGTATAGATTTTTTGACTACAGTGTCAAGGGTGATTATGAAAAGAAACGGGCTTAAACTGCAACCCTGCCAGATACCGATACTGGATTTGAACTCTTTTGAGGGGTGGTGGCAGGTTCTGATTACATTTCTCTGTTTATGGTAGGCTAGAATAGCTAGCCGCCTTAGTCCTACATTTACTCCCATTTCCTGCAATGCCCAATATGTATCTAGTACATTGATTCTGTCAAAGGCTTTGGACAGATCGATGAAACAAACATATACTTCCCTGTCCCTCTCGATTACCTTCTCTAAAATCTGTTTTAATGTCAATATTAGATCTTGACAGCTTCTTTTTTTGTCTAAATCCATATTTTGCTTCATCAAGAAGTGGTTCAGTAGCTTTTCTGAGGCGCTTCTCTGTGATTTTGAGTATACTTTACTTGGGACATTGAGGGGAGAGATACCTCTATGGTTCTTGAACCATTTTGTTCCTCTTTTTTAAAGATGGGAATAACTATTACTGATATTTCCTAATCCTTGGGCATCTTTTTATATTTCCACACAAGATTCAAGAGGTGTTGGAAAATCTCTTATTTTAAATAAGTACAAAGAAAAAAGCCTCCATTGATTAGGATAAAAAGCAAAACCTGATGAAAAGAATTCAAAAAGTAGTCACAAGTCATCTAAAATGTATGGTGGCCTACAGGGAAGGCTGCACTGACAGTTTAGAGTCATAGAACCAATAAATCTATATATTTTCTCCTCTATTGATGTTGAGGTGGTATCAACTTAAAATAAATCTGATGGTTTTAATACTACCTCGGCTTGTTTAAAATTAATTTTAAGAATATGGCCTATCAGACATATCACTATCCATTCTGTACCTCGATTCAAGTTTTGAGTGAACATACAGCACTCCCTACTTTGACTTATCAGGATGGCAGCTAAAGGGTACACAGAATAGTTTTACTCAAGGCTCTGAGGGCTAGAGGCGTAAGGTGTTATGTACACAATATTACTTATTTAGGATTTTACTACATAATTTTGCATATTTTGAATTTTTAAAAATGTTTTTAGTTTTTTCAGGCACTTGTGATAAGTAGAGACCGTATTTGTGTGCAGTAAAAATCCAAAAAATGTGTTGCAAAAAACTCAAAATGTGGAAAATCGTGCAATAAAAACCCAAAATACTTAAAATTGTGTAATTAATACTTATAAAAAGGTGAAAAATCATCAAAATCTTATAAGATATGGTGTTAAATGAGAGATTAAAAAAAGAAATTAAAATCTTACATTGAAAATTAAATTTCAGATTATAACCAACAAACAACAACAATATAAAATATAATACAATGATAAATTATAATTAACCTAAATCTTAAAGAAAGAGAAATTTAAACAATAATAAGAATTACATAAATCTAACATTGAATTAATACTCTTCTCTATCATTTTACAAAAACAATTTTAAGATAAAACACAAAACACTTGGATGAAGGAGATGGTCCGGGGTGAAATGAAATGAAATGAAAATATTTTTATTATCCTGGGACTGTTGTCCCTTTAGGACAAATTACAGATACAGAATAAATGCCTGTGTGGCCATACATAAAATTAATTATTTACATTTATTATTAAGATTAAGATTTTGAAAAAATAATAAAACAAAAAATATAACTAATACACTAAAAACATTCTGATATGTATAATACAAACTATATAATAAAATAAAATAGCATAAGTAAAGAAAATCATTTCTGGAGGAACTTTAAAAGTTCTCTTATCTACATTTCATGATCAATGGGGTTGGGAAAGGAGTAGGTGGTTAAAAAGGAGAGATTTAAATGAGGAAACTAATTGTACATGTTGGATATCGGGAGGGATGGTATTCCAGAAGGAGACGGATTGAATTATAAAGGATTTGTCAAACGCTGCAGTTCGGTGGGGAGGTGGATAGAGGTCGGAGGTACGAGATCTAGTGAGACGGGATTGAATGGAATATTTGAATTGTAGGTTGTGAAAAATATAGGAAGGCCGCTGAGTTCTGATGACTTGGTATAGAAAAGTGGCCATACTTGGTACACCAGACAGCCATAGTCGAAGTGGGGGAACACAAGGGAGGAAACCAGGAGTTGATGGGATTTATATGGAAGGAGATAGCGGAGACGGTTAAACTGTTTCAGGGTAGAGATAGTACGATGGGAAATTTAGGAGATGTGTGGTTTCCAGGAGAGGGTTTGATCGAATGTAACACCAAGGTTTTTTACGGAAGTATGGAATGAGATAGGTGAGTTGTTCAGGAAAAGATTGGGGAGTATCTGTATGGATTTGAGGAGTGAGGAAGATCCGATCAGAATGACTTTCGTCTTATTGGCGTTTAGATTAATCCTATTATGATTTGCCCAGGCACATATTGCGTTTATATCTTTCTGTAATTTTTGGATGGCACCAGAGGATTTGGTTGGATTGAAGGAGAGGTAAATCTGGACGTCGTCGGCGTACAGATGATATTGACAGTGAAGGGTAGAGGATGAAAGGTCATTGATGTAGATGGAAAAAAGGGTGAGAGATAAAGAGGAGTCTTGTGGGACACCCCTGGACAAAGGTAAAGGTTCTGATGGGGGGTTATTGGGGACTACAACATACTGGGAGCGGTCGGAAAGGAAGGATTGGAACCAATTAAGGGTACTAGTGGAGAAGGAAATATTTTTAAACTTGGTTAGGAGAATTTTGTGGTCTACTGAGTCAAAGGCTTTGGAGAAGTCAAGGAGAATAAGGATGGTGAGTTTCTGCTGTATGAAGGTCTTGGGAAATTTTGATGAGGGCAGACTGAGTGGAGTAGCCAGGCCGGAAACCGGACTGGTTGGGATTTAGGAGGTTATTCTGTTCTAAAAAATCGGATACCTGGGTTTGAACTAGTCGCTCTAAAGGTTTAGAAAGATTTGAGAGGAGAGAAATTGGACGGAAATCATTGGGAGTTGATGGGTTGGAAGTCTTTTTCATAGGGGGAACTAGTGCGGTTTTCCAGGATGTAGGAAAGG